AATGAATACAAAAAGAGAATTGTGTAAATGAAATTTAGGAGCTCAAAATTAAAACCAAATATTTTTCCTTTTAACGTACCTGATAGTAAAGTCTAACATAATATACTACACCTTCTCATTCATTATTCCATAGTATTCTTTCTTTTGATATCTAAGCAAACAGTTAAGCTATCGCTTCACATGAACCACTAATTAATCATCTTAATAATTACCTGATTGTCTCTGATTTCATCATATAACATTAAAATCCATCTAAAATTTTTAATTTTTTGAATAAATCTTTAGATTCCCATTCTGTCACAATTAGCTCACATCATTTGAAATCATATTTTGGTCATTTCTTCATTCTAGTGAGCACTAGATAAAATCACTTCTAAGCTTGTCCTAACCGTTATGAAATTTATGTAGGGACTGACAAGAATAAGTTAGGGTCTTGTTTAATTTATTCTCATAAGTACTCGGAATATCCTTTAAAACTCTAGTGCCTCAAAACTTTTTGGAAGCCATCCATCATCCTAGCAATTAGGATGTTTTCATCAACTTTTCTAGAGAAAAAATAAAAGATATTGTAATTTATGAAATCAAAGATAACTCATAATGATTAAAAATAAAAAAAGTAAAGGAGTTGTAATAATTAATAATTTTAAGAATTAAAAATTGAGATGCCTTAATTCGAATTAAGATATTTTTTATATTAATAACAATAATGTTAACATTTAGTTTTAATTAATAGTCTAACATGTAATACTTAAGAGCCAAAATTTCTTTATACAGCAAACTATCATAAAATGAAAAATGATCGAATAAAAATTGGTTCCTACATTACACACACTTTTTCCAAATTGTCTATGACTAACCGAATAGCCATGATTCCACAATATATGAGAGAAACTAGTGAGGAGACTGATATTTAGATAGTCATCTATTCCCAATTCTTAACCTATCTCTTTTATTTCTTAATGTGAATCTCCTCCATTCTAGTTTCCTAATTTTTTCACCCATAAATACCTGAAATATCACTACACAATACCAACCTAAAATTACAGGTTCATATTTATTCACTTATTGATTACATCAGAGTTATCGGTTTGAAACCAAATAGATTTCTATTCCTTCATAATCAATTTAATACAGCTTAGATAAACCTATTACTTAATTCCTAAAAATATAATTTTTCATTAATAGAGCAACATAATCTAAATGAGTTTTAACATAAAAAAACAATTTCTAAGTCATATCAATAAAAGGAAGAATTATGTTCAAATTTTTCATTAAGTTACACAAAAAAGAGACCTAGATTCATTTATGAATAATAATGAGCAAATGCAAATAGATTGAAAAAACTGACCAATAAACTAAATTGATGTAAGTTATTGATGTCTTAGCAAAAAATATTAAGAACCACAATATAAATAGCTCTGTTGTAGGTAGAGGATGAATAATTTTATGGAACTATTCTAACAAAATGATGAATATCTATACCTTTCCATTCAATCTGATAGTATGCATTTAGGGGTTATTTACTAAAGTTTCCTGTCATCATTAAATAGTTAATTATGGATTCTTATGAAATATATGAACATTAT